TTATGTATTTTGGTGCTCCTATGTTGGATGCATATATATTTACAATGTTTATGTCTTCTTGGTGGATTCTTCCCTTGAATATTATGCAGTAACCTTCTGGGTTTTTCTTTATGGCCCTTTTTAGGAAGTCTATTTTCTCTGATATGAGTATTGCTACCCTGGCTTTCTTTTTCCTGTTCCTTTGCTTGGAAAATTTGTTTCCAGCCCTTCACTTTCAATCTGTGTAGGTCTTTTGTTCTGAGGTGGGTCTCTTGTAGGCAGCATATGTGTGGTTCATGCTTTCTTAACCATTCAGCTATTCTATGTCTTTGAATTGGAGCATTTAATCCATTTACATTTAAGGTTATTATTGATAGGTACTTATTCATTGCCATTTTTGTACCTATGTTCCTCTGTATCTCTATTTTCCTTCCTTTCCTTAAAGCAGTCCCTTTAGCATCTCTTGCAGAGCTGCTTTGGTGGAGGTGTATTCTTTTAGACTTCTTTTGTCTGGGAAGCTCCTTATTTGGCCTTCTATCTTGATTGAAAGACTTGCCGGATAAAGTAGCCTTGGTTGTAGGCCTCTGGTTCTCATTACCTGGAATATTTCTTCCCATTCTCTTCTGGCTTGGAGTGTTTCCATTGAGAAGTCAGCTGCTAACCTTATTGGGGCTCCCTTGTATGTCACTTCCTGTTTCTCCCTTGCTGCCTTTAAGATTCTCTCTTTGTCTTGAATTTTTGCCATTTTAATTATGATATGTCTTGAGGTGACCCTCTTTGGGTTCCTCTTGATTGGGACTCTCTGTGTTTCCTGGATTTGTGTGACTTTTTCTCTCATCAAATTAGGGAAGTTTTCCATCATTCCTTTTTCAAATAGGTTTTCTATCCCTTGCTCTTCTTCTTCTTCTGGTATCCCTATTATACGGATAATATTACGTTTCATATTGTCTTGCATTTTTCTTAATCCCTCTTCATTCTTTCTGAACCTCTTTTCCTTTTCTTGGTGTTTCCGTGTGTATTTTTCTACTTTGTCCTCTAGCTCACTCAACCAATCTTCTGCTTCATCAATCCTGCTTTTCATTCCTTCTACTGCGTTCTTCAGTTCAGAAATTGTATTCTTTATTTCCTCTTGGCCCTTGTTGATAGTTTCTATTTCCTTTTTCATGTTGATATAGTTTGCAGTGAGATTGTTGTAGCTTCCCTGTAGTTTCTGGGAGCTCATTGTAAGCTCATTGAGCTTCCTGATAATCATTTCTTTGAACTCAATATCTGATAGTTGAGTTGCCTCTATTTCATTTAGCATTCTATCTGAGGCTTCCTCCCTTCCTTTCATTTGGGGATTGTGTCTTTGTTTCCCCATTGTTTGTGAGACTCTTCCTGTTAGCATCAGCTTCTTAAATTGATCTGTAAGGTCTCTTTTGAGAGATCATCTGACAGTCTCATGGGAATTCCTTTGTAGGTTAATGTCTCCTTATCTCTTGCTGCTTCTAGGATTCTCTTTTTCATTTTTACCTTGGTTAATGTAATTATGATGTGCCTTGGTGTGTTTCTTCTTGGGTCCAACTTCTTTGGGACTCTCTGAGCTTCCTGGACTTCCTGGAAGTCTATTTCCTTTGCCAGAATGGGAAGTTCTCCTTTATTATTTGTTCAAATAAATTTTCAATCTGCTGCTCTTCCTCTTCTCCTTCTGGTACCCCTATAATTCAGATGTTGGAATGTTTAAAGGTGTCCTGGAGGTTCCTAAGCTTCTCCTCGTTTTTTTGAATTCCTATTTCTCCATTCTTTCCTGTTTGGCTGTTTCTTCCTTCCTTCTGGTCCACTCTATTGTTTTGAGTCCCAGTTTCCTTCCCATCACTATTGGTTCCCTGTGCATTTTCCTTCATTCCTCTTATCATAGCCTGCATTTGTTCATCTAATTTGCAACCAAAATCAACCAATTCTGTGAGCTTCCTGATCACCAGTGTTTTGAACTGTGCATCTGATAGGTTGGCTATCTCTCAGTCACTTAAAAGAATGAGTTCTGAGGCTTTGATTTGTTCTTCTGTTTGAGCCTTCTCTTTTTTTTTGGTCTGGTCACACCTGTTATGGTAAGGGGCAGAGCCTTAGGTGTTCACCAAGCCCTGGCACCCCAGTCACTGGATTTTGATGTTGTATATGGGGGTGGGGTTGAGAGAAAACAATGGTGGTTGCTCCATTCTCCATGGGACCTCAGGCCCTTCTGCTGCTTTCCTCAAGCAAACTGGGCCCCTCTGGTGTCAGTTTCTGTGTGGGTGGGCTTGTGCACACTGTGGGACCTTCCAAGGACCTCTCCTGTGAGGCTGGGTGTCTCTCTGTGCTCCTCAACTCCCACAGGTGTCCTCAATCAGTGTCCCGAGGCTCTATTTCCCAGTGCTGGGATCCTGGGTTGCGAGCCCTGCCTTGCTTTACAACCATCGCCTCACTGAGTCTGCTGGTTGCCACCCCTCGGCTGGGGTATGCCAGCTGCTGCTGGCGCACTCAGGGTCCACCCACTGCAATCTTGCACGCCCCGATGCCTTACGTGCCCAACTCTCTCTGCTTTCTGTGCCGTGACCCATGCCTGGCTGCTCATCTCCACCCCTCCTACCGGTCTGGATGAATGGGTCTATTTCAACTTCGTGGCTGTCCAACTTCCATTCAGATCAATTTTCTATCAGTTCTGGTTGTTATTCTGCATCTAAATTGTTGTTGTTCCAATCTTGGTTGTGCATGGAGGTACGGTGCATCCACCTATGCCTCCATCTTGGCTGGAAGTCCGGATTAGAGTTATTTTTCTGGTTGGTTTTATTTTTTAAAATGTCATTGAAGATGGACAGGGCCTGAGGCCAGTCTGCCCTGGGATGGTCTAGAATGTGTAAGCCATTTGCTCCTAAGTGGCCTTGGTTAGGGAAGATAAAACCATGTGATTCATTAGCAGGCTGTAAATTGCTCAAATTGTTTGGACTTGTTTAATTATTTTGTCTCAGTTTCCCTTATTCCAAGGAATTTCCCTTGCTTCTTACTATCCTGCCTCAGTGTCACCTTGCTCCCCTGGGTTCTGACATCCTTTCTGGAGTGGGAGAAACAACTAGAGCTCCATCAAGTAATTTACATAATAGATTATTTGAACTAAATAGAAAAATCCTTGTAGCCTAAGATTATATAAATTGTCATGCTCTCAAAGATTATAAAAAAATTTTTGGCCACCACATTTAATTTTAACTTGCATTGTAAAATTAAAGCTAGGCTTTGACAAATTTAAAAGTAAATTGTGGATGCTGAAAGAAATAATAGCATTTGATTAAAATTTTACTAAACATAAATATTCTGTCATATCTCCAGTTTAAAAAATTATTCTTAAGGCTATTTTGTAAAATTTAGGATTAGTAGTACTATGCATACTAGATGATTAACAACTATATCAATTGTGTATAATTATAGTATAAACTCATGGTTATCAAAGATCAAGAAAATTACACAGATCTTTGTTGGGTTTATTAGGGTTTATCAGTGCTCCAAAAAGGCTGTAACACAATAAATTTAGTCTGGAATGATGCTATGTAAGGTCCTAAGTTGTGTTGGCAGTGTGGTTATTGTTTGCTCTACTTTAGCCATTAAAAATAAAGTTTATGATCAAATCAAGGAGAGCCTAATGAGTATATATGCAGGTATACATATACCATGCTTATGGCATGGTAGACAGCAAATCAACATAGAACAAGGGTTATAAAATCATTGTTCCCTATGACATCATGTATCAGTCAGGTATCACTACAGAACAAACTGACCCCAAAATTAAGTGGCATACAAGAAGTATGTATTGCTACAGTCCCAGGTCTGCAGGTCAGGTGGATAGCTGTCCTTCAAGCTGCAGATCTTCTGATTAGCTGGAACAGCTCTGCTCTTAATGTCTCTCATTCTCCTAGAACTACCAGTGGCAAAAGGACAAGAGCATGCCCAGCTGCATGAGCTCATTCCACCAACATCTCATTTTTCAAAGAAAATCACATGGCCACAGCCAAAGCAAGGAGGCAGGGAACAGACATGGCAAGGGTGTGAGTGTGTAACTCTCTCACACTGGAGTGAAGAATGGGGACCAGAAACTCAGTCTACCACATAGTAATCCCATTTGAGAAAAATATATCCCAGAAACATAACAAAGGAAAAATATGATTTTAATTAATTCCAGTAGAACAAACACTTAGAAAATGTCTACTCACAAAGCATAGTCTTAGAAAGATCAATACTGAACAAGGCCAAGTCCCAACCCTCAAGGTGCAGGAGACAGATTCCTACCAAAGTAATGAAGACACTGTTAATGTATGAAACACCCAAACCTCTAGAGAATGTTTATAGGAGTTTATTTGAGCCCTGGCTGGTGTGGCTAAGTGGACTGAGTGCTGGCCTGCAAAAGGAAAGGTTGCTGGTTCAATTCTCATTCAGGGAACATGCCTGGGTTGTGGGCCAGGTCCCCAGTTTGGGGTGTGCAAACAATAGATGTTTCTCCCCCTCTCTTTCTCCCTTCCTTCCCCTCTATAAAAATAAATAAATAAAAATTGTTAAAAAAAAAAAAGTGAAACAGATGATATATGCCAGGGAGCAAGATCCCAAATGCTCCTAAGAAATAGAGTTTTGCAACTTCTTTTATGCATTTGAAGTTAAAGAGTGGAAAAATGTAAATAAGGTTAGAAAAAGCCAGGCAGGGATTGGATTACAGGATAATTAAAAAGATTATGTACTTTCTTGAGTGTTAACAACCCTTTGGAGAGACATTTCTTCTGGTCTTTTAAAGATGTTTTAGCCTATATGCATAAGAACAATGGACAGGCCTGCATAATGACTACCCACCATGACCTACCCAGTTAGGAATTTATGATCAGGTCACCATGTGAGGTTACTTTCCATAGAACATCTTTTTTACTTTGTTGGGGGATAGCCCCAAAAGTCTAAACTCAGGATCGATTCTGAAGAATTGACACATAGCCTTATTCAAATTCTTAAGAGCTTTAATAGGAGAAACTTACATACACAAGCAAAGCAGCTACTCCCAGTGGTGGTGAGCCAGAAAAATTTCACACTCCCTCCCAGGATAGGATCCCTTTTCATAGGGGTTAATTGTAAAGTCACACAATGGATAGTCTCATAAATCACCAGAAAGAACGATGCATTCCTAAATTAACAGATAACATCAGACAGTTATCACATTCCACACATTCACTAACCTCCTTCCTGGAGGCATCACATTTATCTTTGGGTGGCATGCCAGTTTTCTGGGTAGTCAGCTGAGCCTGAGGCTACAGAGAGTTAAGTAGTCACAGAGACTTAAACAGTCACAGAGTGTTAAACAGAGAGCCCAGCATTTCCCAGATACATTTGGTGCTGGAGCTATATTGCATCTAAAGTTAGTTCCCCTACACTCTACCCCAGATGTAAAGTGAGTTACCTTACATGTATCAACAACACAAAAAAATTTAAGATAAGTTCTAAAATAGAGATATTTATAAAACTCTGAGGTTTGTATTAAAGAAGCTTCAATAAGCAGTGTGTGGGTTGGTAGAGAAGTTAGAATTCCAGAGACAACAGCATAAAATTTACAGAGTGAGAGAGCACCTGGTATGAGGTGCAGTGAAATCAGCCATGCACACCCAGAAAGTGGTGAGGCTGAGTTTAAGTGGGCATGGCAAGTAGGGGTACAAAAAGGAAAGCCTAAGGGAGGGCTGGGCTTTCCATTAGTTGTAATGGACTCAGCAGGAGCATTACCTCTATTCCTTCCCCTAAACCCTATGAATGAAAAAAGGGTTGCATTTGAAACCTAACAAGCTCAGTAGAGGCCTGCATGGTGGGCCTTAGAAACTCAGAGACCTAAAGTAACCATGTAGTCTGACATTAAAGCTTTCTAACTAAAAGTGTTGTAGTGGATATTCATGCTCTCGGCCAATATCTTACTTGACAAAAGTCAATCTTTACCTTAACTGAGCCTGTCTATTGTCTTTTTCCATCTAGGATAACATACCTTTGAATGTCAGGTAATTTTCTTTTTTTCTAGACCCTTCACTGCCCAAGAGCTGAGACCACAAAACCCCTTGTTGCTATTGTTATTGTGCTAATTGTTAACTGCAAACTATCCTATACCCACAAATGTAAAAGAAGTATGTGTTTATTTGTTTTAGTTTTTATCCAGTCCCAAAGATTTCCCCACTTTGCTTTCTCCTGCCTTCCTAATCTATCACCAATGGATTTCCTGTAACCCCTTCTGCCTCCTATTTGATGGTAATGTATAAAATAAGATGCAAGACTGCCATTCTCTGGACCACATTCTCAATCTGTTGAGATTCTGCTTCCCAGCAATTGTCATCAATTTGGCTCAGGTAAACTTACAAAAATTCTCTACAGGTTCAAATGTTTCTTATCTTGACAATCCCACCAAAAAAATGGTAGTGACAATCTTTTTTTAGATTGAAATTCCACAAAAATAAGGAAGAAAAGATGTTAGGCAAAATGGTTTCTAGTGCTTGATGTGACCAACTCCATTTTAAGAAGCAAGTTACTCTCAGTGACCTGGGAGCAGAGGGCCTATATTACCTGAAAAAATGTTCTTATATAGAAAAGTAGGCCCTTTAAACTGTTTACTGCTTTGCAATATATAGCTCTTAACAATACCCTGCCACTTGTGTTGCTGAAACCTCATACACTTTCAGGTATAGATACTCATCTTGCTGCTGACCAAGACTCTGCTTCTGTCTGTAAGTCCCTTCAATAAACTCCATTTAATTCCGGAGTTGCTGGCCTTTTTCTTCATTCTCTTTGTGGTAGGCAGTTAGATACTCATGATCCAAGCCAGGCACAGAAGGTCACCAGAGCAGAGAGCCCTGGATGCCTAGCAATGGGCAGAACTGGGAAAACCAGGATCTTGCCCCCAGGGTAACATTTCCTCCTCTAGTATATCACTGGTCATGTGAGTTTGACCCCCTTAGAGGAGGAACAAAGGGCAGGAGACCAACCTCATACAACCCCCATATAAGCCCCTGTATGACCATTCCCCTAAGCATTGACCTCTAGCAATAACATCTAGGCCTCAGTTGTGTTTCAGCTCTAGGCTCAGAAAGCAGCAAAACCAGACAAGCAATACCATGGCTATCCTCAGGACCAGCTGCCTTGACTAATGATCCCCTGCCCTGATACTAACTAATCAGTGTGCAACAAATGGACTCCTGTCTCAAAGACCATCTCTCCTTCCTGCTCAAGCCATGGTTTTTACAAGGATAGGAAGGAGGGCTTTTTTCTACTCTATCTTGCTGGGTTTTGGCATGCATGGGTCCTGTCCATTCATCTTTCTAGTTGTTGGTGAGCTCAGGCCCTATCCATTCATCTTTCTACAGTTTGGCACACTAAATGTAAGAAATGCCTCTGCCACCATTTTGGCCAATGGCAGGAAACTCCCTGACTCTGACTGACTAGCTACAGTAACAACTCTCACTTCAAAACACTTGAATCTTATAATCTTATAAGGGTAAGTGGATGGAGATCTCATCTTCTGTAGTTCCTTTCTGCTGTCAAGGTGCATAGTCTCAACATATCCCCAGGTCCAGAGGTTCTTGTTATTTACTAAATAAAGAAGGGAATCAAGAATAGAGTGAAGTTTTTATGCAAGGGAGAAGGATTGTTGTCTTCAGAAGGTGGCATACGCAGTGTCTAGAAGATAGCACTGCTGAACAAGTGAAGCTGATAGACTGCTTCATATTTCTAGAGACCATGTTGCAGATGGGTTTCCAAAGTGAGACCTATTATGCAGAGAGTCAAGTGTTTATTGAGGGGTATGCTTAGTAGTGCAAGGCTATCGTAGTAAAATCAGAACCTGGATAGACTAAAGGAATCCCATGATCTAATTCTGAGTGGGGCTTTGAGTGGCATATCCAACAGCAGGAGAAATTGCCAAGGAAGCCACAGTCTGGGAAATGCAGAATAAAATAAAAGTAACATTGTTACTTAGCTTTGGGAGGTGCAGTTCCTTTCAGAAAGAGGAATTTTAAATCTCCTTCAGGAGTGCAGGTCCAACTTTTCCTTGCAGTATCAACAGCAGCAGCAAGATCCAAGTCCTCCTTGGGAAGCTCCTGCTTTATGGGTGTGTGGTGGATCCAAGGCTTGATTCCTGTGAGCATTAGGAAAGAGTGTGCTGTCAGTGGGATGGCATAGAGAATGGACCACTGCTCAGTCAACTGCTTTTCAGTACCTTGAACCTTACATGTCATTAGTAAGACTCAGTCTCCTGGTTGGAATGGGTGAAAGGGCTTGTCAGGTGCATAGGTAGACCTTTAATGAGCAAACTTGTGCAAAGTTGTTAGTGTTTGCTCTAGATATTGTACATATTGTTTGCTTTTTTTATGTTCTAAATCTAAAGGGGGTGTTCGTAAAACAAACCTTGGGTCTCGCATACTAGTTGAATACCCTCTGAAGCTTTCTTTTTTCTTAAGTATATTTCATTGACTATGCTATTATACTTGTCCAAATTTTTTTCTTTTTTATCCCCCTCAGCCCTGCACTCCTTTTCCAACCAGCATTCTCCTCCACCTTAGTTCATGCCCATAAGTTGTACATATAAGTTCTTTGGCTTCTACATTTCCTATACTATTCTTTACCTTCCCCTGTCTATTTTGTTCCCACCAATTATGTTTCTTATTCCCTGTACCTTTTCCCCAATTCCCCTCCTCCTCCCACCCCACTGATAACCCTCTATGTGATTTCCATTTCTGTGATTTTGTTCCTGTTCAATTGTTTGCTTAGTTTGTTTTTGTTTTTGTTTTTTAGGTTCAGCTGTTGATAGTTGTGAGTTTATTGTCATTTTACTATTCACAGTTTTTACCTTTTTCTTAGATAAGTCCCTTTAACATTTCATGTGAAGAAGGGCTTGGCGATGATGAACTCCTTTAACTTAACCTTATCTGGGAAGCACTTTATCTGCCTTTCCATTATAAATGATCACTATGCTAGATAGAGTAATCTTGGATGTAAGTCCTTGCCTTTCATGATTTCAAATACTTCTTTTCAGCCCCTTCTAGCCTGGAAGGTTTCTTTTGAGAAATCAGCTGATAGTCTTATGGGAACTTCTTTGTAGATAACTCTCTCCTTTTCTCTTGCTGCTTTTAAGATTCTCTCCTTATCTTTAATCTTGGGTAATTTAATTATGATGTGCCTTGGTGTGTTCCTCCTTGGGTCCAACTTCTTTGGGAGTCTCTGTGCTTCCTCAACTTGCATGTCTATTTCCTTCACCACATTGGGGAAGTTTTCCTTCATTATTTTCCAAATAAGTTTTCTGTTTCTTTCTCTTCCTCCTCTCCTTCTGGCACCCCTACAATTCAGATATTGGAATAATAAAAATTGTCCCAGAGGCTTCTAAGTCTCCTCATTGTTTTGAATTCTTGTTTCATCATTCTGTTCCAGTTGAATGTTTATTTCTTCCTTCTGTTCCAAATTGTTCATTTGAGTCCTGGTTTCCTTCCCTTCACTGTTGGTTCCCTGTATGTTTTTCTTTACTTCACTTTGTATAGCCTTCACTTCTTTTATTTTGTGTCTGTACTCAACCATTTCTCTGAGTATCCTGATTGCCAGTGTTTTGAACTGTGCATCTGATAGGTTGGCTATCTCCTTCTTGCCTAGTTATTTTTCTGGAGTTTTGATCTATTCTTTCATTTGGCCCATATTTACTTGTCTTGACACACCTGTTAAGCTGTAAGGGGTGGATCCTTATGTATTCACCAGGGTGGGGCAACTCACTTTGCTGCATTGTGGCTTAGTCTGCATGAATATTTCTTCTTTAACTCCTTCGTTGTCAGACATCCACACAGTTCAATTTTCTGGCAGTTCTGGTTGATTTTTTTCTTTTTAAATTGGTTGTTATCCTTCTTTTGGTGGTGTGAGAAAGGAATGCATATCTACCTATGCCTCCATCTTGGCCCTGAAGCTTTCTTTTTAAGAAGGTATTGTTTCTTCCATGTGATCCACATCCACTCTTTTAGGTTAGTTTTTATGGTTTGAATGTTAACTATCCTAGGGTAGCCCAAAGAATAAATCTCAGGTGCAAAGAGATCACTTCTGGGTCCTTTCGCACAAGTCAGCAGGACCTAGAGCTGCAGAGCACATTCCAGTGGGATTTCTAAACATAATTGCTGCTTTTCAGGGGGGAAAGTTATATGTACATGCAATTTACAAAGTAAATCTCAGCTGTACAGTGGAATGGGACAGTTTGGCATGTAGTAAATTTTTTTAATATATTTTATATTGATTATGCTATTACAGTTGTCCCATTTTCCCCCTTCACTCCCCTCCACCCTGTACATCCTCTCCCACCCACATCCCCCTCTTTAGTCATGTCCATGTGTCATACTTATAAGTTCTTTAGCTTCTACATTTCCCATACTATTCTTACCCTCCCCCTGTCTATTTTCTACCTACAATCTATGCTACTTATTCTCTGTACCTTTTCCCCCTTTCTCCTCCTCCCACTTCCCTGTTGCTAACCTTCCATGTGATCTCCATTTCTGTGGTTCTATTCCTGTTCTAGTCGTTTGCTTAGTTTCTTTTGGTTTTGCTTTAGGTGTGGTTAATAATTGTGAGTTTGCTGTCCTTTTAGTATACATGTCTTTTCTTTATATTCTTTTCTTAGATAAGTCCCTTTAACATTTCATAAAATAAGGGCTTGGTGATGATGAACTCCTTTAACTTCACCTTATCTGAGAAGCACTTTATCTGCCCTTCCATTCTAAATGAAAGCTTTGCTGGATAGAGTAATCTGGAATATAGGTCCTTGTCTTTCATGACTTGAAATACTTCTTTCCAGCCCCTTCTTGCCTGTAAGGTCTCTTTTGAGAAATCAGCTGACAGTCTGGTGGGAACTCCTTTGTAGGTAACTGTCTCCTTATCTCTTGCTGCTTCTAGGATTCTCTCCTTCATTTTTACCTTGGTTAATGTAATTATGATGTGCCTTGGTGTGTTTCTTCTTGGGTCCAACTTCTTTGGGACTCTCTGAGCTTCCTAGATTTCCTGGAAGTCTATTTCCTTTTCCAGAATGGGGAAGTTCTCCTTTATTATTTGTTCAAATACGTGTCCAATCTGTTGCTTTTCTCTTCCCCTTCTGGTACCCCTATAATTCAGATGTTGGAACGTTTAAAGATTTCCTGAAGGTTCCTAAGCTTCTCCTCGTTTTTTTGAATTCTTATTTCTGCATTCTTTCCTGTTTGGTTGTTTTTTTTTCTTCCTTCTGGTCCACTCTATTGTTTTGAGTCCCAGTTTCCTTCCATCATTATTGGTTCTCCGTACATCTTCCTTCATCTCTTTTATGGTAACCTGCATTTTTTCATGTAATTTGTGCCCAAAATCAACCAATTCTGTGAGCTTCCTGATCACCAGGGTTTTGAACTGTGCATCTGACAGATTAGCTATCTCTTTGTTGCTCAAAAGGATGACTTCTGGGGCATTGATCTGTTTTTCCGTTTGAGACATGTCTCTCTCTCTCTCTCTCTCTCTCTCTCTTTGGTCTGGTCGCTCCTGTTATGATGAGGGGCAGAGTCTTAGGTGTTCACTGGGGCTGGGCACCCCAGTCACTAGATTGTGACGTTGTATGTGGGGGCGGGGGCGGGGGCGGGAGGGAACAATGTCGGTAGCTCCATTCTCCTGGGACCTCAGTGCCTTCTCTGGGATCCTGGGTTGCACACTCTGCCCTGGTCCACAGTCACCGCCTCACTGGGTCCGCCAGCTGCGATCTTGTGCACCCCAGATGCCTTACGCGCTCCTGGTTGCCTTATGTGCCCAACTCTCCCTGTTCTCCACACCAGGACCCCGCACCCAGCTGCTCGTCTCCGCCCCTCCTACCAGTCTGGATAAATGGGTCTACTTCAACTTCTTGGTTGTCCGACTTCCATCCAGATAAATTCTCTATCAGTTCTGGGTGTTATTCTGTCTCTAAATTGTTGTTGTTCTAATCTTGGTTGTGCGTGGAGGTACGGTGCATCCATCTATGCCTCCATCTTGCTGGAAGTGCGCATGTAGTAAATTTTTGATCCCCAAGCCAGCACTTTAGGAGTTACAGGAATGCCTGGTTTTGGTCAGTCACTCCATTAACCATCACTGCAGCTGAACTTCATTTGGTTAGTATTGTATTTAGCACTGAGTATGTCACTCCTGTATTTATGAGGGAGTCAATTAGCTTATTCTCCACTGTCATTTGTACCTGGGGCTCCTATAGCAGTGGGTGAGGAGGTGTCTAGGGGAGCCCCTGTGCCTCCTCATTTGTCATCATATTTGTTATTCCTTTCTAACTTTTCTTGGCAAGGATTTCTATCCTTTTTATTTTTGTTTTGAGGCCCAAGCAATCCTTTCTCCAAAGGGCTTTCTCTTCGTAATAGGTGCACTGATTGACACCTAGTGGGTCTTTCCCTTTTCCTTTTGGGTCCCACCTCTTCTTCTGGTTTCTGCACACTGTCTTTAAGAAAATGGTGGCCTGCTTTAATTTCCTTGTTTCCTGGCCATGGTAAACTTTACATACTATGTATACCAACTGGGAGGGGATTCATCCCCAGTGCTGTCTAAATGTTGGAGCTTCCTTCTGATATTCAGGGCACTCAGCCCAATAAAAGTCATATGTACCATCTGGACATTTTCTGGTGCCTGTGGGTGCCATCAGTGTGCTTTTGCTAAGGCTAATAGATCCTTTCTAAAAATTCAGAAGAGTCTGTCTGGTTTCTGTTGAACACCACATATCATATTCAGGCTCTTGTGTTTAGTTACCCCCTTTATTAAGGCCTTTCACTATGCACCTTTTGTAATGTTCTAGAGAGGCTAGGTCACTGTTATTTGGGTCCCTGTTGTGCTCTGTCAAGGGAATTGCCCTAGCTAGTTTGGGGTCACATTGGGATTCTCTCTTTTTTAAATGACTTTAATTTATTTTCAGAAAGAGGGGCAGGGAGGAAGAAAAAGAGGGAGAAAAATATCCATGTGTGGTTGCCACTCATATGTCTCCATACTGGGGACTTGGCCCACAGCCCCAGGTATGTGCCCTGACTCAGAATTGAAACAGTGACCCTTTGGTTCACAGGCTGGCACTCAATCTACTGAGCCACACCAGCCAGGGTCCACTGTGGTTCTCTTGATGGAGGC